AAATGGGGCGGGGCCGCTTTAAGGCCGAAAATGCATGAAATCGCACATTTTCACCATTCCGGACCCGGATCTCAGTTATGCATGGATGGATTTTGTTCAAATTTGGTACATACATTAAACATAATAGGACCTTGATGCAAGTCTTTTTTTTTTCGGATTAAGTTCGAAATGGCCGACTGGCGGCCATTTTGTTAAAGAATTTAGTTCTGGATCCGTATCCAAGACATGTCTGGATTGATCAAGTTCAAACTTCACACACACATGGTACATCATGTCACAAATAGATATGTGCATTTGTTTCATGATCTGCTTAACAATAGTGGAATGATGGCCATTTGAAGGCCGAAAATGCATCAAAATCACGTATTTTCACAATTCCAGAACCGGATCTCAGTCATGCATGGATGGATTTTGTTCAGATTTAGCACAATGTGTTGTACATATGCAGGTGCATTTCGGTCATGATCTGCTTTGAATGTATATGTCACTCAAATATGAACGGAACGGGGACGTGTCATTGACAATGACTTGTTGAAATGTGCGTTGCTAACAGCGGAGCTATCTCAGCCGAGAGGCTGCTTGTTTTTTAATGTGTAAGGTCTGTGACCTAGCATGGTGATGCAAATAACCTCAAAACAATATAATTATTAGTCATTGAGCAACTTGTTCTTGAGATTTGACTCAAACCAAATTACATGCATATAAACTGACATCATAGCTAATATTCCTAATTTTTTCAGCCAAAATTTGCACATTTTTATGCATATTTTTATAATTTCTTTGGTAATTTTTCATCAAATTAATTTTATTTCCTATTGGCTACACATCTTGATCAAAATATGCGAAAAAATAGAGAACAAATATTTTGGTTTTGAAAGTTATTTCTCCTAATATCTATTCTTTACAGCATTTTATCTGCTTTGAAACATCCACACATTGTAACTTATTATGAATCATTTTTTGACCAAGGATCACACCTTTGTATTGTACAGGTAAGTATTAAAACTGTTATTTTTCAGACTAGAATTTATGGAGATTAAAATTATGTACTGTGCAGTGTTTCCAAATACATGTTAGATTTGTCTCATTGATGGTAGAGTTCATATTCCACGTCACGTTTTCTGTCACTGCCATATTGTTTTAGAAATCACACCCGTACAGCCATATTGCCAGTTAAGATGCTGACTGGTTTGCTATGCATGTCTGGGGCATCTTTCAGCTAAATGTGCACATGTATTTTTTTATACCACACACTAGACACACCAGCGATTGTGTCCTGATAAGTGAGACTGTGTCAGTATATACATTGCCACTTATGGTACAGAAATTCGTATGATGGATAATCAAAAATTGAAGAAAATTGCTTTTTTTATTCATATTTATTGTGTTCCTCAGTATTTGTTTGACATCTTCTGTTGAGGTTTGTTGACCCAAATTGTTAAAATTGATCTTGATTCACTTAGCTGGCAATGTTGATGGTATAGCTGATTGGTGTACAAAACAATACAGCGATGACAGTAACATGCAAAATTGTTGACTGTATGTAGTTGCATGTGTATTTTACCAGTTATCCAGGTGATACCAATTTCTTTCTGACTTTTGTACTTTTTAATTTAATTTAAATTAAATACCCTACTTAAACAAGAATACATTATCACCTTAACTGAAACCTTACAAAAGATACTTTGCTGCTATTATTCCACCTAGTCTACAATGTGTTTTCAATCAAAGCAAAAACAAGACCCAGTTTATTCAGTTCTGGAAATTCTTTCAAACTGATTAATATTTTGTAATGACTTTTTTTTGACAGCCTTAGATCTCATTGTTATCCAATTGTAACAATTTCTTCTCTTCTTAGTATATTTTCAAATCTCTATTTATTTGCACAGGATTACTGTGATGGTGGTTCTTTGGATGAAAAAATCGATACTGCCAGAGCAGGTGAAACATTCCTACAAGAACATCAAGTGATGGAATGGTTTATACAGATTGCCATGGCTGTACAGTATATTCATTCTAAAAAGATACTACATAGGTACAGTCAGTACATTGATTATTATGATCACTATTCTTAGTGTGCTCAGTAAATATATTCAATTTGTAGCCATCTTTTATAGAAAATGATTGGTTGATTGATTTTGATTATATATCATTAATTAACCATCTAATTAGGATATTGTTTTCATTTTTACAGAGATCTCAAAACACAAAATGTCTTCCTCACAAAAAAAGGTGTAGTAAAATTAGGTGAGTTTTAAGCCTTATATTTAACCGTAGAATGTTTCAAACTTTTCCACCATCCACATGTTTTATATTATACTGGTGGAGTTTCTATGGCAACAATGCATGTCCTTTTTTCATCTAGTATATATTATAGTAAGGCATGTTTTATGCTAATGATTTGTGCACACAACAAGTATGACATATTAGTAAACATCGTCCACTCACTCAGTTTTGCATTCGTTCATCCCTCTCTCTACAAACTCCTGCAGTAAGTATTCTCATAAGCATGTATATTGGAGGTGTATATGATGGGACACAATAGCAAAACTATTGACCAATCAGATTTCTTTTTACAAATATTAATATTTCAAATGTGCTGAGCTCCTTGTGAGCAGTTTGTGATGATAAACAATCATGAGGCGCGACCAGGACATATTTTCATAATTCTCAAAATTGCAAGTTTCAATGTTAAGATATTATGTTTAGTTATGTTTGTCACAACCAGGATTACACACTGAAATCATCTGGGTATGGCTGTAGTGTATTTTGGTTGTAGCCTGTCTAGGGGTAGCACTGTTGATGCAACACCAGGATTTTTTCTACTTATTCCATCATCCTTGACACTTGTTTGTGCGTACAACTTTTTATACACTTAATGAGAAACACCTTTGATATTCAGCCTGGAATTGTAGCTTATCGCAAACATATAATTTTTAAAATCAGTTCACTACAACAATTTCTCTTATCCATAAATGAATTGGGTAAAACAATAAATTGTTCACATCATTACAACTTTCGAGATGATTTAGTAAAGAAATAATTAAATACTATTTACATCATTGCAGTATGATTTTAATTAACCAGTTATAAAACATACATATTATTGCAAAGTTTACTTTCTGCACAACACGTGGCCAAAATATCTTGAACAGAAACTAGTGCACACACTAAGACATGCGAGTGACATGTTGATCCATTTATGAAAATAATTTCTTGAATAATTGATTTGTTTTTTTGTACTACTTGATGATAAATCTTAGTTTTTGACTTGACTTGACTTGTTTTTCTATCAGGTGACTTTGGCATTGCTAGAACATTGGACTACACTATTGACAAAGCTAGTACATGTGTTGGTACTCCATGTTATCTTAGTCCAGAATTATGTCAAGATATCCCATACAATAATAAATCTGATATCTGGGTAAGTCAGATGTACATGACAGTGTATTGTAGAACTCTGAAAAGGAGATAGAATACATATATTCTACATTTTCATTATACTAATTGGTCAATATATACTTTACTGTCCAACTCAGAGTGCTTAGCTGCAGTACCATTAAAATCCTATTATAAACCACATACCTAATAGTAACCGCAATCCCGATTTCGGCTTCAGTGTTAAAGAGTTCTCAAAAAAAATTGAAAACATCAGTTTATCTTTCGAAAACAACTAATTTCTTGATTTAAAAAAAAAGTCATGTCGTTTTCCCATGGAAATCAAAGCCAAAAGATCGCACTACATTATCGGTAAATCGCTTCCGCGTTTCGTTCACCATGAAGTCGGTGACCTGTCATTAACATATTTAAATGAACTAAGGTAATTTGAACACGTGGGCACCATCCAGCATTTTGATTGGTTAATTAGCGACTTGACCTATCCGGTCAAGTAACGTCTCGTGTGCATTCAAACTACGTGGGGGATGTCGTACGCATCGATCGTTTACATGTAACCGAAATAATTCGCTTACGGTGAAACTAAGTTGAATTTTACTTGCATTTGATAACAATTCAACGAATTTATTTTTCGTGCGTTATTATAATCACTACTGAGTAATAATCAACAATTCAACACTTCGAAAACAATTAAGTTATTCACTTGTGAGCTGAAGTATGGCTGGATTGCGTTACCGTACCCACAGTACCATACTTTTTTAGTGCCGTACCATGATCATTTTCTACTAAGCAATGCATTAATGTTTGTTTTTATTTAAAACTCGTGTCAGAATATACTTTCCGTTACGGAAAAAAAAAAAATGCATATTACATTAGATATACTGAGTATTTTTTTTTCATGTGAACAGTTTTTTTGTGACGTGACGCTAATAACTCTTCCCTGACATCTAAATTGGAGTTACGCTTATATTCAAAAGATTGGACGGTGTATTGTTTGTTTTGTGCAAGTGACGTGGGGGATTTAGTGATTGCAATATGTACGTAATAGAAACCGCACCCCGAACTTGAGCTGTTGATCCCAATTTTTTATTTGATACATTGTAATATAAACCGCGGTTTATAATAGGATTTTAACGGTATTAATGTATTT